TTAACTTCCCTCTGATTTGTTGACTTCTTTTGTTAACATAGAATGCTTGGCATGCCCATTGTAATTTAGTGGGCTATTTGAGTCCTTTTGACTGAAATTTAGCAAATTCCTTTGTGGCAAACTCCAAGTTTTCAGGGCTCATTCTCATGTGACTTGCTTTTGTTGGATTGATATCTTCATTATTTTTGAATGGTAGTGTTATAAAGAAGTCTGGATTTTTTCAAAGAGGCTTTGTGCATTTGGTAAGAAATTCTGTGTGAGAAGCACAACAATCTCTTATAAGGATTTTATGTTATGGTTGGTATTGTAAGGGTAAAGTGTGTGCTTGGTTCAATGTAAAGGATAAAATAAGATTTAAATTTGAGTCCATTTGAAATAGGTCTGACTCGTTTTTCCCATAACTGTTTGATAATATCAAAATCAATGACAAGATCATTTCCTGGTAATGATGATCCAAGTTGTTTATGGGAAATGTTGAGTTCGGGAAAGAATTGGAGTGTTACTGGTTTACTAATAAGTTTTGTAGCAAAGTACTCGTTAATGGCTGCTTGAAAGATCTTTTGGTAAAGTCTCCACGTGTTTTCAGGGAGTATGGTTAGGTTAAGAATTGAGGAAGTCGCTCATGTATCTAGTAATCTTGCCATCGTGATGGGTCTTTCATACTTTCCTAGAAAGAGTTCGATTTTAATTAGTGGTACTACCAAGGAAATATTTACGACCTGCATCCCAAAGCATCCTTGCATACTCTCATCGCTACTGTCACTGTTGTCGTTATCATCATGGTATTCAAGAGCAAAGACAGTTTCTAGTAACTGTTGTTCTTCCTTTGAAAAACAATGATTCCAAATCTTCCTCATCAAGATCAACTTGAATTGCTGAAAATATCTAGTTGAGAATTTAATCATTTCTTTTGCTAGGACAATTTTTTGCAAAATAACCTTTTCTACAAAAAAAAAAAACATATGCTTCCCTTCTTTCATGAAAACTTTTTCCTTGAGAAAAAAATCTCCTTTTAGGAGAAAATTTGGAAAAAAAAAATTCTTTTGAAAGTTCTACTTCTGAATTTTCTGGATTTTGAGTATCCACATTCTCTTTCAACCTCTCTACATTTGATTTTCAAATCCGGCTGATCATAGACTTTGACAAAAAAAATTTCCCTTTATGTTGAAGTCTCTGAAGAATTCCCTTTAGTTACAGAGTATTTTCAAGGTTTTTAATACCCAATTATAAAGCTCTCTGATAGATGTTTAAGATAGCATGTCCTTTCAGCTCCATCATTCTGCGGGTTTCTTAACCAAGGAGTTGTGGAAGGGATTCAAGGTATGCCTGCTTGAGATTATTATCATCAATTCCTCCAAGAATATAATATCGTTTCATGATTTCTTTAAAGTGTTTATCCAAATCTTTTGGCTTGTAGGAACAATGCTTTAATTGGAAAAATTCTTCGCGGACCTTTTCTTTTGTATGGTTTGGTTTTCTTTAAAACTCCTAGTGTAGATTATCAAAGTTGTCAAAATCTTGAGTATTTGCTCACTTTCGTTGTCTATAACTCCCAAGGGATACAAACCATTATTTCGTAAGATCCATGAGCCTGGCCGAACTCCTCTGATGACCATATTATGTATCATATCAGGCTTCATCAATTCTGCAATATCCCATACCAGCATTTTTGGTAACCTCATTGTCCATTGAGAAGGTGGTATATTTATGTTGGAAATAGTAATTATTTATAACTTTTTGGCTTTCTTCTACACCAAGCAAATCTTCATGTTGTCCAGAGTATGACTCACCAGATGATTCCTCAACTTTTGGGCCCCTTTGTGTTTCGTCAGACATATATAAAGGATTATAATCTTCATTTGAGGAAGATTCATAGGATTTAGAGCTAGTGTCATTAGTTATGAAAATGGGTGAAAATTGTGATGCGATTGGGTTCTGAATCTTACATTTTTCTAGGAAGGCATATATGGGGTTTTTTTTTTATCATCATTTGTGATGGTTTTTGGGAAGGGTTGTTTATGGATTATACTGGTTTGGTTGTTTGTGATTGTCTTTTTCTAACTTTGGGTACTCTCATCTTTCTTTCATATTCTTCAAGAGTGAATAAAGAGGTTGATTCATAGCTTCGTGTTTTTTCTGAGATAGTTAGGTTTTATGTTGAGGATTGTGTTGATGGGGACAATGACCAATTTGTGTTGGAAGAGAAGAAGACTTGGGATTCCATATCAGTCAATTGATTTTTTAACTATTTAATTTCTTTTTCGTGGTCATCAAAATGGAGTCATTTGGCTAGAAAGGTCATGATTTCATTATAAACAATCTCTATTGTTTGTCTGCAGGCTTCAATTGGGGAGGTTAATGTAGGAGTTTGTTGCTTAAGAATCCTTTCAATCCTTTGCTGACTTTCATCAATCCTTTTGAGAAGAGAATTTTGTCTTATAGCATTCTAGAATTGCCAATTTAGTATTGCTTCTGTAGGACAAATCTTGTCAATTGATTCATATGCTTTTTTGGTATTTGGGTTTTTCACCTTTCACATGTGATCTGATTGGTCTTTTCAAAACTCTCCATATGAGTGAGATTTGTTGGGAGATGAAACATAGATGTAGGTTCAACTTAACATTTGATGGTTCCAAGTCTTTACCATGATCCTTCCAATCCCATCGTTTATACTTTCGGTAGTAACTATCATCATCATTATTATCATCTCATCCAGTTGGAGTAATAAGTTCATCTATTCTAAGTGGAGTAAATTTGACGTAATAATCAAATTTACCGGAGGGTTCTCCAAGTAACCCAACAAAAGGTTCTTTGTTTTCAAATGCCTTGTAAAGCTGTTGTTAACTTCCTTTCTTCGATTTCCTTCTCCTAGGAAGAGAAAACTCATCGTCAACTTCAGTGCTCAAATAATTGGGACAAAAACAAATATGCAAAAAATCATGGCCAGATGGCGAGACATGTTTTCCATTTGAGTTAAATGCATAAATAGGGATATCTTCTGCGAATGAAAACTGAGTTGGGAAACAAAGTAGTCGTTTTGAAGTTTGATCTCTTTTGAAATAGACCTTGACAAATCCCATCGGATTTCTTTCTAAAATAATGTTAGGTGGATTGTATGAGGGTAGATTCGTTGGCTGATTTATGGATGTTCATAGCTTGTAATCCAGGACTCAGAAATAAGTTTAGCAAGTTCAGCTCGTAGGATTTATCTTGGAACATAAGTACAACTAGGAACATATTTAGTATCCATTTGAAAGAGTAAAGCATCTTTTGTCCCTTGAGGGATAGCGAAATCTAGGTAATGATTTTGGATTCTGTAGACCATCTAATAGTAAAGAGTCGCACCATATGTAATTGAAGATAGCACAACCCCAACTACCTGGATCTGAACTTTTAAAGTAGAAAGGAGTTGTGGATCTGATGTGGGCATATTGAAGTTTGGAAACATGGTTACAAGGACAATTCCTGCATTTAAAGTGGTCTATACAGTTCCTATGCATGCATGTTGATATTTTGCAAACCTCGTGTCAAGTAGTGCAATTCTTGAAATTGCAAGGAGACATTTTCTTCAGTGGAGAGTAAGAGCAAATTTTACAACTCCACAATGAAGGTATGTATATCCTTCTGCCAATAAGATGTTTGGAAGACGGGATGCGATTTCCAGAATGAAAAATTGCTCTTGTTCTGTGGCAAGAAGGATGTATTGATCGAACTTTGTAGCCTATACAAAATTCTTTTACTTGGGTTTTTTGGGGGGAAATTAGGCTTCGGACAGACATAAAGAAAGATTGTCATGGTTTTGAGTAGGCTAGATATAGGTTTACAAGAGGAAGACTAGTAGGAGTTATTTTATTTGATTTGTCTAAGTAGGATATTTCATAAAGATAGTCCATTTTAGAAGAGATAGATTTTCTAAAGGAAGATGAAGAGGAATGAGGTAGTATTAGAAGACGAGATGGAGTAGTAACAGGAGGATGTTTCGAAGGATTTTTAGAAGTCATTAGGAAAAGATATGTTCCCACTGGTACCATCATACTAATACTTTGTTCTAGCAGTATATGAAAACCAAAGAGAGAAACTGGCTCTGATACCAACTACTTATAAAATTATTTTGATTTTTTTATTGATGATCATTAAGTTCCGTTTGGTCCCTATTAAAACTATAATTCATTTGTCTTTCTCTTTTATTAACCACACATTTTTCAATAAAATAATAATACACGTAAATTCTAAAAAAAAAAATCTTCTTTTTTAATCCCACATTCTTAAAAAAATACTATTTCAAAAATTATAATCTCAAATAATGGGGCACAGGCTAAGGCAAATTCGTAAAATTGTGGCTCGTTTATCGATTTTTGCCTTAACTAGTGAGGTCATATGTTATTTTACAGGTTTTTTAGTATGCGATTTATATTATCGATTTTGTCTCGATTTTCATTTTTTCGATTGAATTGGTTAAATAATGACAAGGTATAAATTCATTTATACTGACTAGTCATATTCAATACGAATGAATCATACCTCAAATGGATGATTTTGAACATGAATAATGTTACTTGAACATTAGGTTGGGTGTAGACGAGCTTCATCATTGCCACATGGCATGTTTCATATGCTGAAAATGATTAAACACTAAAAATAAGTTATAGTATAACGTAGCATACAAAACTTGCTTTCAGGCTGTATTTCAGCATCTTAGCAGTTTAAGAACAGTTGTCCAAAGACGGCTACTCTTTTGTGAAAACAACCAGATAAAACAAACATCATTTGACCATAAATGTCTGTCTTTTGCACCAAGTACATGGCCAATTGACCTAACAAGAAGCACACAATATAGCTCCAAGTCTCTTTGTGATTTCTTCAATAACAAGAAGACACGTGTCATCATTTGATGAATCCCAAATTTCCAAATCACGTTTAAGGCATCAACTGATGCAAAAATTTACATATTCAATCACTGAGAGAAGTGTTCGAGAGAGAGGAGAATTCTAGAGAGCGAAATGGGAACGATAGAGGAACAAAAGCCTCGGGTCGTGCTAGTACCATTTCCTTACCAGGGGCACATAACACCGATGCTTCAGCTAGGGTCTATTCTTAATTCCCGCGGATTCTCCATCACCATCGCTCATACTGAGTTCAATTCTCCAAACCATTTAGACCACCCAGAATTTGTCTTTTTACCTCTACCCGATAACTTATCTGGTTGCGAAACTTCTTATATAACCTCGTTGAAAGGAATATCAGCTATGAACGACAATTCCAAAGAGCTGTTTCACGAATACATGGTTGAAATGCTGGAAACACAAGCACAGAACGGTCAGGTTGCTTGCATCGTGTATGATACCCTCATGCACTTCGTCGATGAAGTGGCTACTTGTCTCGACCTCCCTACTATGGTGTTACGTCCTAATAGTGCTGCTTATTTGCGAGCTCTTCAAGTCATCTTTCAACTTAATGCTGACAATCTAATTCCCTTGCCAGGTATTGTCAACAATTCTTTGCTGTGAACCGTGAAGATTAACCTATGATGCACTCACAAGAGCACACGGATACGTAATTTTTAAAAAAAGTTCTGACAAGACACATTAATTAAATTCTTTAGAATTTTTCATTTTTATGTATAATTTAATTTTATACTTGCTACTAGTTTTTTTTTTATTGAAATCTTTAAAATAAGAGTACCCATTTATTGTTTAATAATAGTTTTAAATTAAAAATATATAATATATCTAATTTAAAAAATGACTATGATAAAGTGTCCAAGAAGTGTCGATATCCGACATGTGTCAGACACGTTATCCTAGTTGAAGTGTCCGTGCAAGAGAGAGAGGGAGTAACAGAAACCATTTAGCGAAGTTAAATGGCATTAGAAACTATAAACGAGACAGAAATTCTGAAACCTATTATATAACTCATTGCACTGATCTCTCTAAGGGAACATCCTTCGCGTGCACAATATTCATGAATGAGTGATGGTGAAACTTGATTGCGAGCTTTAAGACTATGTTGAACCACCTTATCAAAAAACTCAAGCACACAAAGAGGCCTTTATTTACTTAAAATTAGTCTTCAACACGAGACAAATTATAGTTATTTTATTAGGAGATTTTGTTAGCACGTCTTGGTCACAGATTTAAGATTCTACCAAGCAGGACTCAAAGAAAATAGTTAAGCCTATATCATTCCAAAAGGGATTTAAAGAACAGAGAATAAATGGTCGATGATATGTTCCTTCACTGATCATTCATCTGCAGAATTTAGGCATGCATCATTGCTTTGATTTCACTATCCTACAGTTTGAAATGTACACAACTGTGTTTCAGGGTGAATCCAATATTCTGTTCATTATGCTGTTGGCTACTGCATACCAAATGTGTACTTTTTGAAGACTGAATTTGAACTTCCCCTAATGACATTATTCTAACAATGAAATTACAGAGGATCAACTGCAGGATGCAATTCCGACGCATCATCTTCTCAGATTTAAGGACCTACCCTTTCCAGTTACTGCCGAGATCCCAGAAATTTTAATCGAGTTCTTTACTAGTTATGCCAATATAAGATCTTCGTCAGCGATCATTTGGAGCACTGTGGACATGCTCGACCATGAATCCTTAACGAAGCTTCAGCAGCATTACAAGGTTCCAATCTTCCCAATAGGCCCTTTTCACAAAATGGCTCCAAAATTTAATACTAGCTTAATAACAGAGGACAGCAGTTCCATCACATGGCTAGATAAACGAGCACCTAACTCGGTCATTTATATAAGCATAGGAAGCATAGCTACAATGGACAAGAAAGAACTTATTGAAATGGCATGGGGACTTGCCAACAGTGACCAACCGTTCTTATGGGTGGTCCGACCCTCTTCAGTTAGTGGGTCGGAATGGATCGAATGCTTACCAGAAGGATTTGAAGAAATAACTCGAGAAAGAGGCTGTATAGTGAAGTGGGCGCCCCAAAAGAAGGTTTTGGCACATCCAGCAGTGGGAGGGTTTTGGAGTCATTCTGGTTGGAATTCAACTTTGGAAAGTATGTGTGAAGGAGTACCGATGATATGCAGACCGTATTTCTCGGACCAAGTGGTGAATACGAGGTACCTGACTCACGTATGGAAAGTAGCCCTCGAGTTGAACGGCCTAGAAAGGAAGGGTATTGAGCAAGCCATTAGGGAACTCATGGGGGACAAAGAAGGCCAAGAAATGAGACAGAGAGCACTCAAAATGAAACAAGAACTTGAGCTTTCCATACAGAGAGGAGGTTCTTCATGGAACTCATTAGAAAATCTAGTAGAGTTAATCACGTCGTATACGCAACAAAATGTCAAGGCCACTGCGATCCCTTAGACCTCAGTCGTTGTATTGAAGTCAGATTAAGTTATAGCTTTAAGATTTTATGCAGCATATTGCATGATATCAGTTCCCCCAAACAAAAAATAAAAATACCTAGATTTGAATAATGACTTCATTAGGTAACAAGCAACTCAAGATTCATCATAAATACCATTACTTCGTTATGTACAAAAATAATTCAACCTAACCAGCATGATTTAACACAAATATGCAAGGTTTTCAGAATTTCATTATAAGGGTCATAATGTACTCTTACCAGCAATCTGTAAACACTTTCCGAGGACTTTATTCCTCCGTTTTTTATAATTAAATAAAATCAAGTATACACATTCTAAACTATTCGCCTGATTCGGAGTTCAGAAGTTAATCCTTGTCCTGAAAAGCTAAGACAAGGATTAAATCCTAAAATGAGATCAATGGATGTGTGCTGATCTCAGACACAACACTCTGACAAGCTGTTCGTAGTTTTTCAGATTATAGTATGTTTGAGAATATTCACTTCTAAATTACGCCCTTTTTAGTAAGACTTTTTGAGAATAGATTTTGTGTACAGTGATATTTTTTAGAGAATATACGGTTAAAAAATAGAAAAAGAGTTATGAATCCACGTGAAAAATTATTTTATTAGGGAATGTGAGGGTGAAAATGGGTTAGAGAAAAATGAGTTTTAGAAAATGGAAGCCAAGGGCAAAATCATTCGTAGAAGGAAATTCTAAATCAAGTTTGGTAATATGTAGACGAACTGAAAATTAAATTGGTACAGCAATATACTAAAGGGTGAAAAGCAATGAGCAGTAGTTTACACCTTGCTCATTCAAGAAAGTCAGCAAATACTAATGCTCTTTAGGAACCTTCGTCCTATTTACCCTTATTTACATAGTGGAAAGGCAAGAGGGAACAGGTTATATTCTCTTGTCAAATACTATCAGTCAATCACATAGTATTATCGTGAAAAAATGAAACGAAAAGTACGAAAATTGTCATAGTTTTCCCTTAATGATGCTTGCATAGTAATTTCCGACCAAATTTTTTTCAAAGTAGAACATGGTGGAACACAAGTGCACCGGGGAAGAGAGGTTTTCCATGTGTATTTCTTCTGGATCATATCTTAGTACGCTTTGAATCCATCAATAGTCTTTGCAATGTGGAAGCCTTGGCCAGAATTATTTATTTAGTCATTTTTGTAATCCCCGCCACTTCTTAGAAGATATTAGGGTGCGTTTGATTTCAATGGTAGAAAATAGGTGAAAAGAAAATATTTTATAGGGAAAAGATTTGCTTAGAAAATNTCCATCAAAGTAAAAAAAATTTTACCATTGGTTATGACATTTGTTTCCATTGCCAAAAAAAAATTCTAACCAGCCGGGAAAATATTTTCCCACCAAAAAGGCGAGAAAACATTTTCATCAAAAACATTAGAGAAAAATACGGTCTATCAAATACGGCCTTAGAGAAAAATGAAGAATATCCCAACTCTTCAAGTGTCTATGAGTGAAGAAATCATCAAAGTCATCGCGGTCGACCTGGGGATATCATGGTTGAGTTTGATGTTGAAAGCATTAGAAAATAAAAGCATAATCAAAACTCCAAGAGGTAAAGGATGCACAGATATCACAAAATTTATTAACTGATTAACAAAATCCATTGACACATACATCAAGACTAAACAGGCATTATATCAAACACATCTAGAGCTTGTTTGGGAGGGATTAAAATCAGATTAAAATTGAAAATATAGCCGTTGGAGTTGACTTTTATTAGACGAGTGGGACCCAATAACGGCTATATTTTCAATTTTAATTGAATTTTAATCCTTCCCAAACAAGCTATAACTACACTACATAAATCAAGTAAAAAAGAACACAAGGCTACTGCTCCGACTATTTTTAGCATTCTATACAATTTCAGAATCCATACCCAAAGCAGATTTCGTCTAATCAGAGATGTCAGTGAACTTCAAATCAGCCTTCTTCCACCTCCTCTTTTGGAATGGTAATAGTTTGCAATCCATTCCGTTGAAACCATTATTTGATACATTCATAAATTTTTAGAAAATAATATTATTTGCAATCTCTCACTAACGTTATCATCCACCTAACATAATGTGACGGTTAGTGATTCACAATCCGTCACATGTATGCTACTCCTTTTTAGCTTGCTTACACAATTTTACCACACAAGAATGTTATCTAGTCACCCGTGCTTAAATGCTTGTGGACCATCAATTTGTACATGATATCCCCAGGTCGACCGCGATGACTTGATTTTAGAAAGTGTATACTTGATTTTAGAAAGTGGAGAAAGAGACCAAGATAACTGACAAGAAGGGAGAGGACACAAGATGTGTGTTGGTAATATTTTTTCCGCAAGGGGACAGCATCGTTAACAAACAATAAGTAGAGAATATAGTATCATTCCACGAGAATTGATTATTGACTATATTTCAATTAAAACTAATTTCAACAAGACATACACATTTAAGATTAAGATTTTGAGTTTGATTTTTCTAACTAACAAATAAATTGTGCAAATTAATACTAATGGAGAAAATAAGTGTCGATGTAGAAATCAATTAAAGAAATAGTTAGGAGTCCCGATTCACTAATTAATCATACTCGTGTTCAATTCATATTTTGGTTCAATTATTGTGTTGCCGCCCAAGAAATCCAAGATAAAATATTAATGTTTATCTCCCGAGTACTAGTTAACCTATCTGTAATTATTCAAACTTTCCTCTCTCGATTAATAATGGCATAAAAGTCATGCATAAGAACATAGGACAATCACATGAAGAAGTAGAAGTTTGTCAATTCAACTTCTCATGAAAAGTAAGATCATGTGTTCCAACGTTCAATTTCTAGATCATGCCAATCGAACACAATTTATACGAAGAAAAATATCAAAATATCTAATTAAAAATGTGGAGAAGTTGAGTAGATATATTGTTCATCCTAACATATAATCTAGCCAAGAAATATGATGAAAGACTTGAAACAAGAAAAAAAATTGACATAAGTATCATACTGTGAAACAAGAAAAAAAATTGACATAAGTATCATACTGTGAAACAAGAAAATAGGATGAATCTCTTCAATCTTCAATTCCAAGAGCTTGGACATCTTAATGCTTGGATTCACATTACCTTCTTGACTCTCTAGGATTCCTCCCGAAAAAATGAATTTTGATGTGTTTTATTTGATCTCTACAATGTGTTTTTCCTCCATTCTTTCTTGTATTTTCTTGAACTAGATTTGGTCTTCATATAGTGCTTGAAGTCCTTTGAAAGTCACGTCTAATAGTGTCAAACGGGTCGAGCGGCTAGTAGGCTCGACCACTAGGCTCATGAGCGGCTCAGGCTTGTCAAATGACTAGCCCGAGCACGAGTCGAGCGCGTCGGCTCACCGAGTTTGGCTCTTGGGCTCGTAGCTCGCATGAACAATGACAAAAAAGTGATCGTTGCGGTCATTGTTGAAAGTTCAATTAAACAATTTCAGTGATCGTTTGTCACTGGATTATGAAAAGTGGTCGTTTACCACTTTCTTTTTTTCTTTGTTTTATTTTACTCTATAAATACTCCAACCCATTTTCAATTTTTTTCACACAACTTTCCAACAACTCTCACTCTCTTCCACATTCTACAATCTACTATATTTTCATTTCGACCTTCAATTTCAATTATTCAATATCAATTATTACACTACAAGTTTACAATTACAATCTTACACAATAACTTTCTTTCAATTTTTGATTTTTTTCCATACTTTTTATTTACTTACTTAATTACTTACTATATATTTCATCACAATTCACAAATGGATGCACACTCATTTGTTGAGGGCTTGTTCAGTATCGGAGGCGAATCACCTATGACGCCACAAAGTTAATTTCAAAATGAATTTTTGGTCTGAATGGAGTACTCATTCTCAAAAATATTCCACATTTGGATGCTCATGGATGTAATAATCCAATTAATTTGGATGACGTTGATGCACTCGAAGGGAAACAAGAGGAGGAATAGAAATTAAATATTCCCGATGAAAGAGAGAAGCAAGAGAGGAAAAATAGGCAAAATATTGGAATCACTTTAAATTAATTCAAACGGGTCGTGTGGTCGATGGAGTTAAAGAGTCTAAAGCGATATGTAAATATTGTCACAACGATTGGCATGGCAAAAAGGCATTGGTACCACCCACCTCAACCGTCACTACAAAGCATGTGCAGCCAAACTCGGGTATCTTGTTGTTGATCAAACGCAACTGCAATCTGGTAGTCTAGGCGTTGGTTCTACTTTTTCGCCACTTTCCACGTGGATATATTTGGAGAAGAAAGCTCAAACAGGAATGATGAAGCTTGTTGTCGCTGCTGAGTTGCTTCTAGTAATAGCAAACAATCAATATTTCGTCTCATACGTGAAAGAATATCTTCAACCGAGGTACGTTATGGTAAGTCGAAATACAATAAAATATTTCCTTCATACAAAGAAACAATTGATTATTAATTTGCAAAAATATGGGAGTGTTATATCTTTAATTTCGGATATATGGGAAGAGATTAATAAAAGAGATTATATAGTTGCAACTGCACACTACAAAAATCTACTTTGGTGTATACATAAAAAAATTATTGCTTTTAGAATTATTGAGTTCCATCACAACGCTAACAATATATATAACGCTATTATGAATATTATTAGAGAATATCATTACGAAAGTAAAATTCGTTCTTTTACATTCGACAACGCTAGTGTTAATAAGGTAGTTATCGATAAATTGTGTAAGGTACTGCAGCCCGATTTCGGTGGTTATTTGTTTCATATTCGTTGTGTGTGCCATATTTTTAATTTAATCATGCAGGATGGTTTGAAACATATGAAGAATGAAATTCAAAGAATTAGGGATGCACTAATATATATTACGATTTCACCTAGTAGAAAACAAACTTATGAAAAATTTTGTATCGAATTTGGAATGACGAATACGAAAATATTTGTTAGT